TAATCTAATATTCTATCAATAATATATATATTTATATATATATATATATATATATATATATATATATATATATATATATATATATATTCCTTGAGCCGAGGGTCTATCGGAAATAGCCTCTCTATCTCTATAAGGTAGGGGTAAGGTCTACGTAACCACTACCCTCCCTAAACCTCATTTATGGAATTACATTGGGTTTATTGTTGTTGTATCTAAAGTGGGAAAAAAGGCCCGGGAACTAGGATCCAAATCCTAGCAAGAAAAAAACACTAAACGATTTTTATCATCTGCCTAATCTTTGGTGGGAGATGTGCATTGTACTTGTGCTGGTAGCAGGTACCAAGTGGATTAGTTGAGGTGCGCGCAAAATGGTCTGGACACCACCTTATCCCCAAAAGAAAAGTGAGAGAGAAGGTAGATTGAGATCGTACGGTCATATTCTACATCGATCTCCAAAAGCATCGGTCTGTGAGTTTGAAACCGTGGTAATTGAAGGTATTAAAAGGAGAAGAGGTAAACATAAAATTACATGGAAAGAATAGTCTCAAAAGACCTACATTCCCTTGGAGTCCACGTAGAACAAGCGCAAAATAGCGTGATATCAACTAGTTCTGATAAGGTTTAGTTCGTTAAGAGTCTTTTAGTCATGTTAGAGATTTGTAAGCCAAAAGAAAATGTAATGAATTTCTAATGCTAGAGAACTCAAATCTTCAAACATTAGATTGTTAGGGGTCTCAATGAAGCCATGTTTAGCGCGAACTTATATTGCTAGCTCCAACAAGCTTAGGATTGAGATATTGGCATTGTTGTTAATCACAAAGCTATAATTTCCCTCTAAAGGATTTTATGGATCCGGTACCTAAATGTTTGTTTTCTCATACAAGCATGATTTAAGCCACTGTGAGAAAGCACGGAAGAAAAATATATTATTGATATTCTATTAAGTGTTTTACACTAGCCCTATTTATAACTATACACTATATATTCTACTCTTATTTCATGCGGGACTAGGGTTATTTACATAACTATCTAACACTCCCCCTCAAGCCGGTGCATACAAATCACATGTACCGAGCTTATTACATATGTAACTAATACGAGGACCAGTGAGGGACTTGGTGAAAATATCAGCAAGCTGGTCATTCGACTTCACAAACTATGTAGTAATATCTCCCGAGAGTATATTTTCTCTAACGAAGTGACAGTCAATCTCAATGTGTTTAGTTCTTTGATAGAACACCGGATTTGATGCAATATGAAGGGCAGCTTGATTATCACACACAAGTTTCATCTTGCTGATCTCACCAAATTTCAACTCCTTGAGGAAGTGTTGATCCAAACTAGCTCACATGTTGTTTCATTGCTCGATATTCTGCTTCTGCACTAGACCGAGCAACCACATTCTATTTCTTACTCTTCCAAGACACCAAATTACTAAAACACAATATCCAGACGTAGAATGTCTATCAGAATGTGATTCTGCCCAATCAACATCTCAGTATCCAAAAATTGCTTATCGCCTCGATCTTCAAACAATAATCCTTTGCCTGGAGCTAATTTTCTAAACCAAAGAATGTGGACAATTGCACCCCAATGACTATCACAAGGAGAATCCATAAACTGACTCACAACACTCACAAGAAAGAAAATGTCAGGTCTAGTACTGTGAGGTAATTTAATTTACCAACCAGACGCCTATATTTTGTAGGATCGCTAAGCGGCTCCCCCTGTCCTGACAGATGTTTAGAATACGGATCCATAGAAGTGTCAACGGGTCTACAGCCTAGCATTCTTGTCTCTTCAGTAATGTCTCAAGCATACTTTCGTTGTGAGATCCTAATGCCTGAGCTAGACTAAGCGATCTCAATACCTAAAAAATACTTTAATCTACCCAGATCCTTAGTCTGAAAGTGCTGAAAGAGATAATGTTTCAACTTACTTTATCGTCAACATAAACCAACAGATAAATACAGAGATTTGAAGCAGAATGCCTATAAAACACAAAGTGATCAGATTCACTACGAGTCATGCCCGACTCCTTAATAACTATGTTGAACTTACCACACCAGGATCGAGGAGACTGCTTTAGACCATAGAGGGACCAGCACAACCGACATACAAAGCCACTAGACTCCCCCCTAGCAAAAAAACCATGTGGCTGCTCCTTAGAAACCTCATCCTCAAGGTCATCGTGAAGAAAGCATTCTTAATGTCCAACTGATAGAGAGGCCAATGGCGAACAGCAACCATGGATAGAAAAAGGCGGACCGATGCTATTTTAGCCACAGCAAAGAAAGTATCACTGTAATCAAGCCCAAATATATGAGTATACCCTTTGGCAACAAGACGAGCCTTAAATCAATCAATCTGGCCATCTGGACCAACTTTGACTGCATACAATCAACGACAATAAAAAGTAGATTTACCTGAAGAAAGAAAAACAAGCTCCCAAGTACCACCCACATGTAAAGCAGACATCTTGTCAATCATAGCATGTCGTCATCCTAGATGAGACAGTGTTTTACCTGTAGACTTAGGGACGGGAAAGAGGACAAAGATGATACAAACGCATAATGGGGTGATGACAGACGATAATAACTTAAACCAACAGAATGGGGATTAGGATTAAATATGGACCATATACCTTTCCGAAGTGCAATCGGTGGACTAGGAGGAGACAAGTCTGCAATAGGAGCAGGGTTAGGTAGAGGATGTGAATCAGCTGGGCCTGATGTCGGGCGTGGACGACGAGTCAGGAGTGTTGGAGTTATAGAAGGTTGAACTGGACTAGGTGATGAAACTAGAACTATCGGTGGTGGAGCTGGAGTTAAAAGGAAGATGAATAGGGGACTTTTTTACTCTTTGGAAAGGGAAAGACTGACCTCTGGAAACCGAGTTGTTAACTTGAAATAGTGGAAATTAGTAACTCCTGCAGGAAAACTAAAGAAATATATGGGAAAATATTGTTCTCGCCGGAAAACACTGTAGCTCGCCGGAAAATTTCAAAGTTGCCGGAATATGTAGGAAATAGTACTGGTGGACTCGGAATACTATGCGAGTAAACTGTCCTGAAGGAATTTTGTCGGAAACTAGTTAGAAGAGGTCTTATGCACCCGGCGCGTGCACAGATCTCACTGAAAAATTTCATGTTTGTCCGGCGCGTGAGAGCGCATGGGTAGGATTTTTGCAATGGGGTTTTATGGGGTTTGGTCGCAGGACTACGGCAGACCTTGTGGTGGTGTTAGTTTGTGCACAACACTAATGAATAGTAATTTTCACGCAAACAGTCACTTATGCCAATGGAAAATTGCGAGGTGACCGAGTTCTTTCTTCCCGGATGTCGCTGGAATGACACACAATGATCTTTTCTCACCGATGCTCTGATACCATGTGGGAAAACACGGGAGAAAAATATATTGCTGATATTCTATTAAGTGTTTTACAATAGCCCTATTTATAACTATACACAATACATATGCTACTCTTATTCCATGTGATACTAGGGTTATTTACATAGCTATCTAACAACTACTAAGGATCTAATGTTATGAACTGAAGATACTTCTCCTGTCTATCAACAACATTAACATTCATCATTAGAAAATTGTGTCATTCCACATAATTTATCCTAAAATCTCTATAAGCATCAGTGATTATGAGAAGTATGCCAATTGACTACACTGTTCAATATAGAGTAATGATTAGAAAAATAGGTGAAGCAAAGTAAACAACCTTTTCCAAGCCAGAATCAGTTAGATGTATTGACATGCCAAATATGTATGCGAATGAGGAGCGATGCATTCCTTCATCACCAACACCAGCAGAAATTGATGTTACCCAGCCTCTAGCTTTTAGGGAGAAGAGCAAGGAACCTTTTCCTTCTGAAATATTATAATTTTCTCAATGGTCAGATCTCAATAAAATGTGGATACCACTTTGACTAAGTAAAAGCACACTTGTACAAGTACATAATTTGAATTTCCCAGCCTCAAAATCATCAAACGAAATATGTGCCAGTGAATCCAAGTGTGATAACAATAATACAGTACAAATATCTTAGTGACTTTAAGGTCACGGCCAAAAAGAACTCAAATGATGAATATGACATAAATTTTATTGAGAAAGGTAACAGTATATCATCAACACCATGGTGGTGCTGGTATCAATATTTACAATTACAAATATAATGAACATGACATAAATAACATACCAAACAGAAAATAGAGAGGTAGAGACAGTAAAGCTGATCTTCAGATCTAAATCAGCTTCATGCAGCATTATATTTATATGATAGTGTTCTCTTAGCCCAGGATGATGTCTTACTAATGTATCATTTATCAAATTATGATGCTGGTTGACCGCACTTGAGCACATGACAGTCAGTCAACCAACTGCAAGCAAAAAGCTAACAGAATTTGCAGCCTGAAAACAATAAAATAAAGAGAAGAGAGAAGCAAGCCAATATGCAATAATTATGCATAACAAGGTGCAGTGCAGTATATCCTTATTATGAAGCCAAAAGAACGACTGATAACACCTCTGATAAAACTTACCATGGCCAAGGAGATGAGCCAGATAATCTTCAGCTTTCTTCAAGTACCCTTTCCGGAGAGAAGGCAACGTCCATGATAAATCAAGGATATGAACATCTTTAACTGCCTCTAACCAATAAAGTTTGCCAACTCTCCAAATCGAAAGTTCAGTTCTTCCGTCTGGATTTACCAGAGGACCTTTCTTGACACTGCTAAACAATTCAAGAACCCAACTTTCAAGGATATCTAAGGACTCTGCAATATTCAGAAATATTAAAATTAGCACGCAACAACTTGCACTGAAAAAGTTATGTAGCTACTCCATAACTATATGTGGGACAAGCTAAAACAAAGCATATCAGAAACATATTAATGGAAGATTTTAAAATAGAATTTAACAGCATCCAGAGTGGAGATTATCCACACTAATGTGGCCAGTATGTGTATTGAGACCAGCTTTGTACAGGGATTAATACTCTCTGACTCAAACTTGTCATCTAACAACAAAATCCTTGTGGAAGCGGGTTTTAGCCTTAAAACATATAATCATAACTTATTGAATTTACTATTCTGAATCGCAAAAAATTACCTCCCCCTATAATAACCAGTTTCATGGATCCACCGCGATAGTTGTCATGGTATAGTTTTAGAATTTGTTCCCTCAAATTGACTCCTCTCTCCACCGCATCAGCAAGGCTCTTTTTATTCCCTTCACAAAATCATCCGAAGATCATGAAAAGACAATAAATATTACATCCAAAGGGAAAAGAAAAATAGTGATGGTTTTGATGTCGTAAACTTACCCCAAAAGAACCGGTTAAAGGGATGGCCAGGCGTAGATGTATGGCACTGTAGTTGTTGCAGGCGGCAGGAATCATTTTGTAAGACCTGATTAAATTCTGTATTCCAAGTGTCAAATAACAGCATTTAAGTTGGTAAGACGTGTCGGTTGATGAGATTAACAAAATTATAGTATTGCACACCTGAGTCCACAGCTTGTACCTCCCGCTCCATGGCTTCAGCTTTAACCAAAGGTGAAACGAAAAACTGGGAAAACCTGAAAAGGAAACATAGTGAGAGTAAGAATAACCACCTTTCACGTTGCTTCGTTTTGTTTGAGGGGGGTGGGGGTGATAAGCACCTTCAAAGATGAAGTTAAGAGAGGAAGAAGAAAAAGCTACTTAATGTACTCCCTCCATTCGAGATTTAAGTTTAAATTAAACATACTTGACCAATCAGAAACAAAAGACTATATCAGGGTTATGTGGAAAGTACTGAAACAACTACTTCTTCCATGAAAAAGTAGAGTAGTTATTAATTGGCAAATCAAGGTCAAAGTTTTCCTATTAAGAATAACTCCCAAGTATTTCCACAAGGGATGAATCGGAAAAAATCGAAGTTTTGGGACAGAGTATTGGTCAAGTTCCAAATGTCCACATTGCACCAGTACGATCCAAAGAAGTTAACAGCAAAAAACAACCATGTAGAAGAAAACCATACCATGATAGAATAACTTCACTTGTCTGTGTTTGAACTATTATCAGGGGATTAAGAAAGATCGTGTGCTACAAATGTATAATCTTTACAGACATTATAATTCCAGCTTAAGCTTCAATGAAAAATCATATTTTGACTCGCATCAGGCATCTGCTGCTTTTTTTGTGCACCCTGTAGCATCTTTCCTTGTACTGCGCCAGACACACAGCCATATGCAAATAGCATCAACTTTCTAGGGTGTGGTAAGAATGATGCACCGCACATGACTGTCATATGCCATTATGTCAGGACATAATAGGGCCTATTGTTCAAAAGGACATGGAAAAAAAAAGCAACTTCTCTAAGTTTTGGGTTTAGCGGTAATTTTTACATCAACATATAAGAAGTTGCAAAGACACAAAAAGAAAAAAGATGCTCCGGACGAGACTAGTTTCATCAGATAACGTACATAATTAACTAATGTTAGAGGCTCATAAACTTAAAATGAGATATAAAACACGCATTTTACCTTCTCAGGGCACCCTTAAGGCAATCCCGCTTAACTTCAAAATGGTAGCAGGTGTGTTCTGTTTCTGTGTATGCATTTGAACACCCTCCACGCTTGGACAAGTAACTGTCATACTAGCAAAAAAAAGAGTCAAACAGAGATCCACATTTTCAAACTGACTTGAGAATTGGCACTTCATTCCTCTGCACCATGGAGTCATATTTCTTAATGCTTTAAAATTAGCATGAGATGTGAGAAATTGCAAAGAAAACGCAAATGGGAAGAAAGGATGACAATTTCAGTGAGATTGAGCAATAACCCAGAAAAGGATACCACAAACATATCCAGAAGCAAGAATAGAACAACATACCTCATTTTCATCTGGAAATTCAGTGCTGCCCATGAATAGCATGTGTTCTGAATGCATAAGAAATATGAAGAATTACTTGAGGGTCAAGATGCATTATATCAAAATATAAATTGCCAAAGTCAGTTGTGCGATATGGTCTCCAGCATTATTGACACTGGTGAATGAGAAAATTGAATTTTAATATTAATTGGTTTGGATAGGAGGAAAAGAAGATAAAAAGAAGGAAATTGCAGATAGAAATAAGAATATTTGTTTACTAATGTGGTTTAAGAAGAAGAAAAACAAAAAAAGAAGGTAGGGAAGAAAGGAAAACCTGTATCGCCTCACATTCAATTAGTAATTGCTAGGGAAAAAAGGGTGGAGTATAGAGGACAGGCCAATTGTTGGCTGAATTTCGAACTGTGGGTGGCTGGCCCTCGGAGATTTCTCGATTACAAAAAATAGAAGTGTTCTATTTTATTTATTTTTCTTCCAAATGAAACACGTGAAAAGGAAATCTTTTGACATTCCATCCTTTTCCTTCTCTCCTATCCCTCAAACAGAAAATGCTACTCTAATTTTCATCAACACAATCATATTTTTGCTCAAGTGCCTCATGAGCTCAATCATCACGATCATAAATCAAGCTTCCATTTGATGATTAAACAATATGTTAAAAGTTCATCCATGAATTGGACATCTTGCAACAATTTTTTTTGGAAATGGAAAGAGGTATCCTTTAAGAAATAAGCCAAGAAGTAGTATTCACGGCTTCAACCCCAGCAGCTTTTCACGATCTTTGCAATTATGGTGCCTAGTGTTTTATCACATTAGCCATTGAAAACTATCTGATTGATATGATTAAAAAGCATCATTCGAGATGCACGATTCTCCCAAAAAAGAAAAAAGGAGATCAATCTGCCTAAGTAAGGAGTTCCTTCGGGACTTGGTACAAGTCATTCACTCGAAAACGAACAAATTAAGGGCAATCAATACTTTAAATTATCAATAATTTATTTGATTTTTTATATGGACTCATTTATTCAAATCAATGTGAACTAAACCTCTTTTAGGTCCTAAATCAAGTGGCATGTGATATATAATTCTAACAATGTAGCTTCAATATGATTATGCTCCAAAGCCAGTAGTAGATGTCTGGCGTTAAAGAAGTTACAAGTGTAAAAACGTCAAGCCAAGAAAATGAGGAGTTCAAACTTTGATTTCCAGACAAGGTTCAGTAATATGCAAGCTGTGTTTGATTTCCAGACAAGGTTCAGTAATATCAAGCTGACCTATATAATTCAAAAGGCAATGGTAAAGGAGCATAAGCCGAGTTTCAAAGTTAGGAGGGGCATCAAACTGTGCAGCAGAGGTTTTTTGCGCGAATCTGACAGTGAATCCCCTGAACACCTACTTTTGCATTGTTCATATTCATGGGAAGTATGGACCTTGTTCCTAAATGCATTTGGGGTGTAATGGGTGGCTCCAGCATAACTGAAATCAGCAGTACAGAGCAGGAGGTCGCAGGATATAAGGAAACAACTACTGTAATACATATGGAACACTGTCCATTTCAGCATTTTTTGGTCATTGTGGCAGGGAAGAAGCAACAGAGTTTTTCTAAAACAGGCATAGAACAATAGTAATGAAATATAGGGTCTTGCAATTGCTATATTACTGGCCCTTGGGTGTAACACGCAGTACAACCAAAACGTGAAATATTTTATAAACTTTTTGAACTCCCTACATGTTTAAGGGAAGAGATATTACTTTTCTACTGTACAGATTGGCACCTTCTTGGTGCAATCAATGAAAGTATCGGACTGGAAATTGCATACATATGAAATGTAAAAACAGAAACACTAAAAAATACAACATACCCAGTATAATCCCACAAGTGGGGTAGGGAGATGGTAGTGTGTACGCAGACCTTACACCTACCTTGTGGAGGTAGAGAGGTTGTTTCGGAAGACCCTCGGCAAAAAGAACACTAAAAAGGGAACACTAAGAATTGGCTTATTGGGTGCATATGAGCCGAGATCACAGTAATATGCACGAGTCTAGTGTGATTAGAGCATAAAGAACTCGATCGTAGACTGGACCCTTGAGTTGATTCTTGACCAATTATGAATTAACCTTGCTTTAGCCTTTGCAATTCTAACAAGGGCTAAACATCCCTACAGAAGTTGCAATTGTTCATAAATCTCGATTTGGAACCATATTGCAAATCATCATAAAAGTTACGCATGTCAGTTAAAGCTCATCTTCTCGTGGAATAACATCTCAATTTTCAAAAACAATCAATTGAATAAAATCTCGTCAATCTGCGTTAGTGTGCAAATCACAAATGACATCAAAGAACTCTCAATCTGCTATTTCTCTTTCTTTACTTCTCCTCCAATCTCCCATTACTATTCTCACTGCATAATAGCTAGCCAAACAGCTCTTGGTTCATTATTTAGGTTGTTGAAATCTCTCCTTTACTTTGCCATTCTCAGTACATAAAAATTAGACTCTCTCCACCTTTTGAATATTCGATAAACCAATATATGCTACTTAACCCCTTTTCACTTACCCACTCTGTAAGGTCTCCACATGCTTGTCCAACAAGAAGTAGGCCAGCCATTTCCACTATTTCCACAAGTCATAACAACAAATAAAACAAACTAATATGAGAGAACTATTACACCTGGTTTGTTCACTATGCCTCAATCATCTTTACCCACGAGACCATGATGGTAAATAGCATTCAGTTTTCCCTTTTCACTTCCTTTGACAGTTAAAACACTTGTCGTGCTTGCTAATCCATTCAACACTCCACTCCTCTCCAATAAATGATTAGAGAAACCCTTAGCTTAGTCAAGTACTATTGAAAAACCATCCTAATTTATGATCAACTAAGTAGATGTCCAAGCTTCTTTTTTAATTTATGACAATGATGTGTGAGTCAACTTGCGTGCACTTTGACTATGCAACAGATACCTGCTACCTCCCAGCACGGGTACCCGGTAATCTTGCGGCTTAGGTAGATGGAAAGAAATTGCCTAGTATTTTTTAGGTAATGTTCAAGGCTTCAAGCAAGAGTCAACAACTTGTACTCTTGATGAACAATATAATCAATCAGCTTCTCTAGGGGTTTTCAATCAATGATGATTTGCATTACCACCACACGAACTATGAACACAAAGTAATTTAATAATATAATAATAATATGCAAAACTAACCAAGAAAATGTGCAAGACCCTGAGCATCATAAGGATCAACAAAACTGCCCATTCTCACACACATTGCAGCTGCTGCCTGCAAAATGCCACCAAATAAACTGAGAGATTAAAAAAATACAAATAAAAATTGAATAGCAACATATACCTAATCAATAGTCGATTAGAATTAAAAGAAACAGACCTTTTTCTGCGAAGCACCTTTACTCCCTTTGTCCTTAACTTCACTATCTTCTTCATCAGCGCCGTCACTTTCTTCTTCATCAAAATCGCTATCTTCTTCATCTTCGTCTTCACTTCCTTCGTCTTCTTCGGATTCGTTGTTTTCGTTTTCGGAATGTTCTGGAAGTCCATCGGGGTAAATATCAGGATCGTGAACTAGAAGAGCACAGAGGCCATTAGGGAGTTGCATGTATCTGTAGAGACGCTTATCGTGCGGCGACTTTTCTACTAAGTCATCAGCTGTCAAAGTCCGGCCGCCGCCTACCGCCATTGTTTTCAATAAGATTTTCTCTGAGAGAGAAAAGAGATACTAGTGTATTAGGCACTATGCTTTCTACTCTCTCAGCACAGAAAGTGTTGTTTGACGTCTGTTGCAGGTATTGTCTAGGGTCGCGTTGGTTGGTGTTTAAGCAATCTTTCCGCTGACCTGCTTTCTAGGGTCTATTCCAGCTCCAAGTTTCTCATTTGCACATCACGAACCTAAACCCTCCAATAAGATTTTCTTTTTTCAAGTCCCAATAGATAAGTATAATTTTTTCCAAAACAAATTCCAATCTATTAACACTCTGTTTGGATCACTGTTCCCATCGTTTTATAATGTATCGTATTATACTGTATTGTATTGTATTGTATCGTATCATTTTATGAATACAATGTTTGGATAGATTGTATTGTTCGTTATTGTTAAATAACATTTTGGTGTTTGGTTTGACTGTATCGTACTATACTTTAACTGGTAAGTTTACTACAATACCCTCAATTATTTTAAATATTTAATTTATCAAAAATTACACATAAAAATTATTTAAGAAAACCACTTTCTACTAACTAATCACTAATTATGTCTTATATATAAATTAAGCAATTAAATTCATGCAAATTCTATCGAAATTAGTTGAACAAGTTAATAATATTAAAAATAATAATAAGTACACTATATTTATAATTAGATCATAATAATAAAAATTTAAAAAAAAAATATTAAGTAGACTCCATTCAGACAAAAGTAAAACAAAACATTTACCTGAAGAGTATGGAGAAGCGGCAGAAGAACAAAATGAGTTTTTCACGTATGTAGGTTATTATATACTAGGTTATATTTGGGATGTCGTCTTGAGAATTTATATCGGTTATTAGACTTCATGTAGAATTCTATTACAAAATTATGTGAGAAGGAGTTTTTGCTATTATTTAAAATAAAAAGATAAAGGGTAAAATAGAATTATAAAGCAATAAGTTAGGGCATAATTAGAAAGAAAAATAGGAAACGTTCCCACCACACTAAATCGGTTGTTTCAAAAAATAGGACTTTTCATTGTTCCGGAACAATGGATTTAACAATACAATACAACCAATTTTAACTAAACAATCAAAACAAACATTGTTCGGTGAAAACAATACAATACGATACAATAGGTAACAACCATCCAAACAAGCTGTAAAGCAGAGGCGGATCCAGGATTTAGAGGTTTCGGGTGCCAAAAATTTTGAACGTAGTCATATTACAATTTACATTGTCTAAATAAGGATAAATTCAATCAATTTGGTCTATTTGAATTTCGGTTCGGGTTATTCGTCTTTGGAGTTAATATAGATATTAAGTAATACTAATAAGCACCTAAATATTAAGTAAGTTTACGGATATTTTTTAATTTATATTTTTTATAAAAATTGACTCACTCAATATTATATACAATTGTCCTACTTCAGAGCAATCTAACAACAAAATAAACTTTCATCATGATAAAACAATAAGTTATTATGGGGATTTCTTTGAACAGATTTGTGAAAGATTTTTCTTATATATTTTTTGTTAAATGTTTAAAGAAAGAAAAAGGAGAAAAAAATTCAAAATAAACAAATAAGATCAAAGAAAAAAAAAACAATTAAGTGAAGAGAAAGAACAAACAAGGGATCATCCTATAATTGTCTTAAATGCACCAAACAAAGCTTTTTAGAAAGTGAGGTGGGGTAGATTTGAACCCCCATTACCTTGAGCCTTTTTGTTAAAGAGAGTGTCACTTAAAATATTTGTATATATTCCTTCTATATATACATACTATTGTATAGTCTCGGCCAAAGCTTGCGGGTGGCGTACCACCTCGTCCCTTGTACGTAGATTCGCCCCTGATCCAAAGATAATATTTGAAATATTTAAAAATTATAGTTACTTGCTTTACAATCCAATCCGTTATTTGAACTTTTACCTAAAAATAATGGGACGAAAAAACTCATCTTTTTCAATATTCAACAAAATATTATCCAAATGCCTATAACTTAACATTAAAAAATAATATAATTAGATATTTGCTCTCTAGTAATTTTTTTATCTTAATCAAAATGGAAAATGCCTCTTGCTTTGGAACTTGTAAGATTATAATTCAGAAAAGACACTAAGAGCCCCTTATAATACTTATATCACCACAATGCTCATTTTTTTAAAATATAACATAATATGCTCCTTTTAAAAAATTTATTACTCGGATACCTTCTCCCTTCTATGCCAAAGTTTCACCTAAGGCCCTTCCCTTCTTTCTTTCTTTTCTATGCTTTTTTTTCACTTTTTTATTGTTATTTTCTCACTGTCTTTTCTTTCTAATTTCATGCTCTTCTGCATTTTTATATCTTTTATTTTTAAATATTCTTTTTTTTTCTTTCTAATAATAATCTCTTATTCTTTTTTGCTTTATTTTTATCTTAATCTTTTTATTATTTTTTGCTGTTCCAATTATTTTGTAAATTTAATTTTTTTTTGGTAAAATCTCTTCATCAAAATTATTTGTCACTCCTTTTATTTTTTCTAATTTTATTGTTGGTTTTTACTATGTTTATCTTTCTAATAAAATTTTGCGCTCTTTTTTTTTTTAGTTATTTTTGTATTTTTTTTTTCTTATTTTATTCTTTGTAGTAATAATTCCTTACTCTTTTTACTATATTTTTTCCTTATCTAAATTTTTTCTTTTTTCTTACTTTTGTTCTTTTCAGTAAAATCTCTTCATTTGAAATACTTCTCACTCTTTTTTACTTTTTTTATTATTATTTTTATTTTATGTTTTAAGTAAATTTTCATTGTCCATACTTTTCTCACTTTTTTATATTTATTTATTTTTGTTCTTTCTAGTTAAATAGATGAATTCTAAAAAATGTGAGTACGTGATTTTTGCCCTATATGAATTACTCCCATAAATTCAAAACAAAATAATTTCTTTTCATTACTTGCAATTTTGTGGATTTTCGTGGCATTTTGTGTTAATTGTTTGCATTTGTCTGTGCATTTTTATTTCTTGTTTAATTAATGAAAAATACAAAAATATGTGCATTTGCATTTAGGAGTTAATCTCGCATTCTAGGAATTAATTAGTAATTAGGGTTTTACAAAAATACAAAAAATCACAAAAATTGATTTATTTTGCTTGTTTAACTTTTAGCTTTGAATTTGGTTAGTTTTCTTTTGATTTGGTGTTTAATTAATAGTGTTGATTATTAATTAGAGCTTGATATAATTTGGTAGGTTATTTTTTTTTTAGAGTTAATTTCAGTTTTGTTTTTAATTTGAAAAATAAAAGAAATTAAAACAAAGGGGGAGGCAATTGAAGTTTAAAAGTTGGGCCAGTCCATGAATCAATCCCCAGCCCAAATTAATTAAACCCCCAAACCTGTCCAAAAACCATCTGATCCAACCCAAAATTTCCCCACCCGGTCTAGCCCCTTACCACCTAAAACGACCCCGTTTCGTGGTCATTAGATCAGGACCGTCGAGGTTTCTTGATCGGACGGTCCTAATGCTAGTGTCTCATTACATTTAAATGTCTAAACGTGACCTATCCCCCCTCTCAGAACCCCGTCTCTCACCTCTCTCAAATCCTAGAGACTGATCCCCACCGTCTCCGCCGTCTGCCGCCGCCGGAAATCGCCTACGGCGGCGGCGAGTCCCCAAAGCACCCCAAAAATTCACCAGAGCTTCCTCTCCTCTCCCTCATACCCATGCCACCATTTATTTCCCTCGAATCTCACTGAAAACCCCCAAATATCCAAACCCTAGAGCGCTGCCATAATTCTCTACCGTCCTCCGGTGGCGGCGCCACCACCAATCACCACCAAAATCATACCACAGGACCACCTCACTCCCCTTTTCCCAAATCCCTGATCCGTTCCTCTCAACTAGGGCCAGAATTTCTCGAATCCTGATTTGAAGAGACTACCCTAAACCCCTAAAAGTCCGAATTAGTGAGGTTTTGGAGGTTTGAGGTTGGAATCGATCTCAGTTGCATGTTCTTAGTCGAGAATACATGATTGAGGTTTATTCCGGCCACAAATTCAGGGATTCGTCAAAAGTTCCGTTTCAAGAAGGGTGCCTGTTAGTTTTGGGAAAGGTATGACTGGTCTTCCTTTTTCCATTTTTCTTTGTTTTGCTTTTGCCTCTTTTCTTCTTCTTTTCTTTTTGTTTGTTTTCTTAAAAACATTCTCCATATGTTCATCTAGGTCAGGCTTCTTTTAGTTTTGTTTTAGTTAGCTTAATTTTCAGAGGGCTCATTACGAATTCAAAAGTGTTGTGTTCAATTGTTTGTGTGTTACCTGTTCATGCAGGATTATCTTTGTAATTATTTCTTTAATCAGTAACGTTAATCCATTAATTTAATTCAATGGTTTAGTCTGGTTAATGGATTGTCCAGTCTGGGAACAATTGTTAAAAAAAAAGTGTTTGCGTTTGGTTAGTATTCTCAGACTCTTATTTGGGCTAGTGGGTTGTTTGGGTCTTGGGACTTTTATGACCCATTTAGGAAAAGAGGGGTTAGCCCGATTGGTTAAAGACCCAGGTCTGATTTGCCTTGAGTCAATTTGACCCAGGTTGGTTTTCAAGGTAAATAACAGGTTTGCTAAGGGTAATTGGGGCAATACACTTAGGGAATTTTTAGTGTAACTGAAATAGGAAGCTTCTAGGAAGTTTGGGTAGGGGTCTTTGGTCAAATTTTAGAAGTGTGATAGGTTAACTTGAGTAACAAGTAAGAATTTTAAGGATTCCTAAGCTAAAACAAGAATTAAAAAAGGACCGAAGGGGTAAAAATAAAATCTGCAGGGCTGCCCTAATTGCTTGCCTATAAAGGCATTGCATTCTTGCCTTGCAAGGGAAGAGATTTGGAGAGAACTTCAAGAGCTGAAAATACATGAACTCAGAGATCAGATTTTAGAGAATTTTAAGAGCTAAAATACAGAAATACAGACTGCTGAAAATTTGAGAGCTAAAAGTACTGTTCTACTGAATTTTTCCCTCTTTGATTCCTGAAATTTTCAATCCCTGAAATAACTGCTGATTTTTGTGAGAGTTAAAAATGGTTTGAATCAGAAGTTGAGATAGATTCTCTAGGATTTAAAAAGAATTTGTTGTTTCACTCTCTTTGGTCTTAAAAGCTGGGCTAAATCTATTTGTTGAAGAGTGTTACATGAGTTTGGTTTTGGCTTCTAAATCTCTTCTGGTTGG